GTTGCTGACAGTCGAGTGTCAAGGTGAATTCACTTAATCACCAGTTTTCATCTGGGCTCTTCTTTCTACAATCTTTATATATATGATATCCTTAAGCTTCTCCAGAGAAGATGCCTCTGTCTTTATAAAACAGTCCATGGTCCTTAGATTTGTGGAGCAAGGAAAAAATTACATCAACTTGTTGATTTCAGCTCCCTCCAGAGTCCCACCTTCCACAGTACCCAGAAAATCTCATTCCCAAGACAGGGTCCTACAGGCAAATTGCCTTGGTTCCTGTTGGTATATCCTTTGGCAAGCACATCAACATCATTTTAAGAATGTCATAGGAGTGGTACCATATCTTCTGACTTCATGAGAAGGAAAGAGAATCAAGATTATCAATATCAGCCAGCCAAGGCTGATTCCTATGAGGCAGAGAAAAATATGCCTCCACTTGCCAAACATTTTACCAATTCTGTAACTAACAGTCCCTCCCCTGGCACTAATTCTTTGTTGGCACTAATTCAATTGTTAACGAATTCAATAATTCATTGCAGTGGTCACAAAGAACTCATAGAACAACACGTATTTTACAATGATTGGAACAGTGCGTAGTCAGAGAACTACCAGAAATACAAGCCAGGTTTAGAAGAAGCAGTGGCACTAAGACTATCATTGTCAATGTCAAATGGATCTTGTCTGAAAACGGAGAGTACCAGAAGCAAGGAATCACTGAATGGTTAAAAAAATGCATCAGGAATGTGTCCTTTCTCCATGTCTTTTCAATCTCTATGTGGAAGAGACCATCCAAGAGTCTGGACTGTTTGAAGAAGAATATGACACCAAGATTAGAGGAAGATTCATCAACAACTTGCATTATGTGCATGACACAACCTTGCTTGCCAAAACTGAGGAGGATTTGGAGCATTTGCTACAGAAGGTCAAGGACTGAAGTCTTCAATAAAGATTGCATCTCAAGATCAAGAAAAAAAATTCTCGCATCCGGGCCTATTAGATTATCATGACAGATGGAGAAGAGATTGAAGTTGTTAACAGTTTCATCTTGCTTGGATCTACAATCAACATTTTTTTGCACCAGAAGTCAGAAAATCAAAGGCAAATTGCATTAGGAAATCTGCTGTTTGGGACCTCGCCAGAGTGGTAAGGAACAATGATAATGCTCTAGAATCTAAGGTGTACATGTTCAAGCCATGGTCTTCTCAATTACCTGTCATGCATCTGAGAGCTGGACAATAACAAATGATAGCAGAAGAATCGATGCCTTTAAATTGTGGTGTTGAATGAGAGTATTGAACATACATGGATTGCCAAGATACAAATAGGCCTGTCCCTAGACAGTGTGAAACCAGGTTGTTCCCTGGAGGCAAGGATTGTGAAGCTCCATCTGGCATACTTTGTGCATTTTTCCAGGGGATGACCAGTCCTTGGAGCAGGACATCATGCTTGGAAGGTTGGAGGGTCAGCGCAGGAGACCCTAGATGAGGGTTGACATAGTGATTGTAGCAATTGGGGCACTTGTCAGAGACGGTGAAATAGACTCAGAATAAGGCAGGATTCAGAGTTATTGTTCACAGGGACATTAAGGGTCAGAATCAACTCATAGCTGACCATCTGGTGGGTTTTGAGAGGCAATAAGGAAATCAACCATTTCTCTTTCATGGAGTAACTGGTAGATTCAAATCACACACCTTTAGGTAAGCAGTATAACTTCTTATCCACTAGGCCACCAGAGTTCCCTTATTAGGAAGTAATAAGTTATACTATAAGGTCAAAACCAACTCAAGGTACAATTCATTGGTCAGCCTTTTCAATTAAACCCAAATTCAGGCCTCTTTCTGGATCCCAGTCCCTCAGTAAGGCCTCTTCCATGCTTAGGGAAGTGTTCTAAAGTTCTTTCATTTCTGCCAGTTTCCTCTCCAGCAAAAAGTGTTGGTCTGAAGGTGTTCAGCCCTAACTGTGGACCAGCAAACACAGTTTCCTGGCAAATGCCCAAGGGCATCCACTCTACCCGAAAGTCTCTCCTGCCTGAAAGTTCCCCACTTTATAGGCTAGGAAGTTCACCTGCTCCTTTTTGCACCAATTTCTTTGTAGCCTCTACTGTCTCTGCTATAGCTGTCTCTCAGAGCTGATACCATTTCCCAATCACAGCAGTTCCCACTGTCTCTGACGTCATATCATTCTACCTACTTGATAAAATAAGTTCAATGCAGGAATCTCAGATCCAAAAGATACATACACTTCAACCCCGGCTCTTCTTTTGAAAGTAAAGTGAGAACCCCCTTTCCCATCCTTGGGTTGGCTCATTTTAATTCTAAAAGGATATCAAAACTGACCAAACTCTACTTGATTTACATGGAGTCAGAAAATCAAGAGCCAAACTCGCTCAACATTTCTTAGGCTGAAGGAACTGAAGAAGAAATTCAAGCTTCAAGTTGCAATACTTAAGGATGCTTTGGGCAAAATATTAAATGATCCAGAAAGCATCAAAAGAAGATGAAAGGAGTATACAGGGTCACTGTACCAAAAGGAATTGGTTGACACAGGAGAATTTCATGAAACAATGTAAGGAATTGGTTGACACCGGAGAATTTCATGAAACAATGTATGAGCAAGAGCCTATGGTGATGAAGGAAGAAGTTCAAGCTGCTCTGAAAGAATTGGCAAAAAACAAGGCCCCAGGAATTGATGGCATATGAATTGACATATTTCAACAAACAGACGCTGTCCTGGATGTGCTCACCAGGTTGGCCCAAGACATCTGGAGGACAACCACCTAGCCAACTGACTGGAAGAGATCCTTATTTGTTCCCATTCCAAAGAAAGGTGACCTGACAGAGTGTGGAAATTATTTAACAATGTCATTAACATCACATACAAGCAAGATTTTGCTGAAAATTATCCAAAAGTGATGGGAACAGAACATCAACAGAGAACTGCCAGGTGTGCAGGCTGGGTTTAGAAGAGGCTGTGGTACCAGGGATATTAAAGCTAATGTTAGATGGATCTTGGCTAAAAGCAGAGATACCAGAGGAATGTCTGTGTTTCATTGACAATGCAATTTCCTTGCTGCTAAGGATTAAATTTTAAGAGGAACACTAATGTCTTTACTCCACTCTATTAAGACCACAAGTCTATATCATCTTTTAATGTTCGTCTGTTAATACTGTCATTGGTAGAACTAAAGTTCAAGATGGTTAAGTTCTTTATTCAAGATCAGAATTGGAAAGTGACCAGTAACTTTGCTCACACCAAGGGCAAGTCTATGTTCTAGTCTCTTATTCTTCTGCTTCCCAATACTCTAATGTCAAGGGAGGATAAATATCTTTAAGTACTATATACTTTTACTTTGGGTCAATATCTCTAAGTATTATATGAAGAAATTATTTGGAAGGGTAAAGACTCCTGTCTTTGTGAAAATTTCAGGGTAATACGCTTTTCACAGAGTCAATGGAGATCCAGGCTATTAATGAAGAATATCAAGAAGAAACAAAAATTACTGGAGTTAGGCTCAAGGCTGAAAAAGGAGACTTTAGAAGCCAGGGAGAATATCCAGACTAAGATTTTTAAGTCAATAAAAATATGTAAGACTTAAGAGAACTGGAGAGATTGTATTCCAGGGCTCCAGAAGGGCAAATGAGTATAATGTTGTCATAATGGATAAGCATTAAAAATATACTTGTGAAGACTGAGTTTAAGGCCATCCTGATGCCTGGGTAACTTCCAAACCCCCAGCTTCTCATTGCTGTCAGGGTTAGGGCTCTTAAAGTTCTTCAGACCTGATTCTCACTGCAATCAGCCAGGGTGAGGTTGTGCTTCAAGGTAAGTAAATGGGTTGGTAATAGAATATGTTAGAATTAACAATATGAGTCCATCCTGTATGAGCACAGTTCACGTTTAAGACCCCAAAGTAGGTATTAACATTGCCCTCTTTCTGTGCATAATTTCATCTTCTTAGATTTTGGGTTTGATTTCACATATCAACTGGTCATATTTCAATGACTGGTGATGACTGCCTAGAGCATTATCTGGAGAGTAATTCTATGGATTTTTCCAGACTCAGAGGAAAAAAACTGCACAAGTGATTAGTAATGTCTGACATGAGTACAGGATAAGAGGGTTTAAGTACATGCACCATCACCAATTCAAATCACTGTTTCTGAGTCCATCAGAGTTATACCTTTCATAAATGTGGTCAAGAAGCTCTTATCAAAGGCACTGAAAAATATTTTGAACAAGATCTGTAAAAAGAAAAGATAGTGTCATGAGAGGGAGTCTTTGAGACTAGCCTCTAGATTAGCACTGAAGTACAATGTTTGGATTTAGCTTTTCATATTAGAATTATTTTTGAATTATTTTCCAATCTATATTTCCCAATTTGTATACAAGACAGACCTTCAACAGGAGCAGGGAAGAGGAGCGTGCTCTCATTTTAAGCCCATTTATGATATACATAAACTGGGATTTTAAGAAATAAATGGATGACCCAATAAAATGAGAAAATATCTTCGTTATAATTCCAGAGGTCTAGGCATCAACATTCCAAGGTCTCTGGCCCATGGTCTCTTCTTATATCCTGAGTAGATGTTGAACCTTGGGCGAAAACAGTGACTATCATTCCAAACATAACAAAAATAAACAGGCACACCCAATTTCAAGTTGCTCATACTTTTATCATAAAATACAAACATTCTAAAATTAAATGTCTTACTTCTATTTCACCAATAACAACAGAAACAAAAATCACTCATATTAGCTAAATACAGTTGAATATGTGGTTGAGCAAGTATGAAGACAAAGGGTATATATGCATGGATGGTGCTGTGTGTAAAGGTATGTGTGTCTAAGTGTTGGTCAATAGATGAATCAGGTCTTGCTATTTTCTGTTGGTGACCTGGTCAGAACCTTGGCTTTCCAAATTTCATACCAAGTTATTGCAGAATATTGACTTCCAGAGCCCTTAGCCATTGGGTCAGGGCTAAGGGGGGAGAAGAAAAGAAAATCTAAAAATTTACGCCATTCCCTCTAGACGAAAAATAAGGGCTGTTCATCACTGGCCCACCAGCTGTTGAGTTGAACCTGGAAGAGACAGAGTAAAAAAGCTGTGATGAAATATAATGTTATCAGCGATATTAGAGAAAATTATATATTAATTTTGTGGCTGTCAAAGACTATGAAGACTTGAAGGCTAAAAGCTTTAGCTTAATAAAAAACCTTTAGCTCTGGGAAAATAAGATATTTAAATTATATCATTAAAAGCACATAAAGAGCTTCTTCTGACACTTACTCGGATGGGGAAAGCCCTAGTGGTCTATAAGGACCATGTCTACGGTGTCTGCATTCTTGCCATGACCAGGGCCACAGGGTAGGGCGAGCTTCTTAGTCAGACCACCTTTACTTAGTGCCTGTGTTCTACCTCCTGTAGAGGGCCAGGTGTGTTTCTCATAGGTTCTGTAACATCAGAAAACATAAGGCCAGTCTTCAGCAATGACTTGGGACAATTCTGGAAATCCTTCTCTCCTTATTGACACCAAGCAACATCAATTCCAGTACCAGTCCAAGACATGAATGATAAGGCACCACCGAGATACATGAGTCTTTGCTAGGTGTTCAGGAAAGTAAGTACAAGGAATACTTGAGCCTTAGCCTCTAAGAATAGGAATACACACAGTTCTACTTTTTCACTTATTCATAGAAGTCAAAGGTCATCTCTTCCATGAAGCCTGTCCTGACTTGTCTGGACAGAACTGCTTGCTTTCACTTCTGGGTTCTCATTGCAATTTCTTCACCCCTCTGCTAGGACACTTTGAATGAATGGGTACAAACAGCAGAAGAGAAAACCATTAGATTTTGTCTAATCCAGGGATTCTCAATCACTTTTCAGCTGGACAGATACACATTACAGAAGATACTCACATTCATGGAAACCTCCCACAAACTGCTGGTTTGTTTGTTGTTGTTTTTTTAAAAAAAAATTAGGGTGGGAGAGAAGGGAGAAAAAGCAATGGTTTCTTTCTGTAACCTTCCATGAGAACAAGCTAGGTTTTCCTATGACCTTCCACAAGAACAATTTATCCATGATTCTTTTCTCACTAAACTAAGGTAGCCCATGACAATAGACATATTGTCTGGAGCGTTTACTATTTTAAACCCCATCACAGGAAAGGACTCAACATGGAGTAAAGCCAAGAGCATAAACTAGTTGCTGCCTAATTGACTTAGATTCATGGCAACTTAATGTCTGTTACTGGAGAACTGAGCTTTTATGGGGTTCTTAGGAGCTTACTTTTCAGAAAGAAGATCACCAGATCTTTCTTCTGACCTGCCTTTGCATGGTCTTGAGCCTCTAACATTTTGGTTATCAGAAAAGCAGCAGAAGTAATCAATGTTGGTGGTAGCTGCACCTTTCTGTTTCTCTTTCAAAACTCATAAGGAAACATTATTGGAACTGATAGTATTATAGGAAACCCTAGAGACTATTCTGACTTCTAAAATAAAGGCCAAGATCAGTGTTTCAGTACTTAAGAATTCTCACTAACATATTACTCATGACAAACTTCATATCTGAGTGCCACACCTCATATTTCCTAGATCGTCCAGGATGAAGACTACTGCTCTAATCAGCTACTAAGGATGTGGTCTTGAGAGATGTGTACTAAAGGGCCAGGGGCAGGACAATCCCACTGGACTGGAATTATCATTGAAAACTTCTTAAAACACCAGGAAGAGACACTTCAGATGCTCCTTGAATCTGGTAGCCATGCCTTTTGGTTTGTCTGTTGTCTTAAGCGTTGTCAAAGTTGAATACGACCCAAAGCAACCCTATGAACAACAGCTATGAACCCTGCCCTATTCCGTACCATCATCACACTTCCTGACATACCGGAGTCCACTGTGGCAGCCACCATGTTAATCCGCCTGATCGAGGGTCTTCCTCTCCTTCACCAACCCTCCGCTTGTCCAAGCATCATGTCTCTCTCCAAGGAATAGCCCTTCCTAGCCACATGCCTGAAGTATATGAGGTGAAGCCTCATCATCTTTGCCTCCAAAGAGCACTCTGGCTGCACATTTTCCAAAATGTATTTGTTTGTTCTTTTGGCTGTTCATCAGATGTTCAGAACTCTTGACCAACACCACAGCTAAAGGCATCAATTCTTCTGTCATAATTATTCATAGTCTAGCTCTCAGATGCATAGAGCAAGTGATCAGAAAGACCAAGGCCTGAATCAGACACACCTTAGTCTTCAAACTGATGTAATTGCTCCTCAATAATTTAGAGAGGTCCTTAATTGCAGTCTTTACCAGTGCAATATGTCTCCTGATTTCCTAACTGCTAGTACCAAGGGTGTGAACTGTGGACCCAAGTAAAATAAAGTTGTTGACAATTTCACTTTTTCTCCATCTATTATGATGTCACCTATTGGTCTAGTAATTCATATTGAAGGCTATATTCTTTTATCTTCTGCAACAAGTGCTTCAAGTTCTCCTCACTTTCAGCAAACAAGGCTGTGTCATCTATATAACTCAAGTTACTGATGAGTGTTCCTCCAATCTTGATGTCACATCCGAGAGTCCAGCTTCTCAAATAATTTTCTCAGCACACAGAGTGAATAGGTATAGAGAAAGAATACAACGCTGTTGTACTCCCTTCTTAATTTTAAGCCATGTAACATTCCCTTGCTCTGTTCACATAATAGCTTCCTGGTCTAGGTATAGTTTTCACATAAGCACAATTTGCTCTGGGATTTCCATTTTCTCAATATTTGCCATAACTTGTAATGATCCACACAGTCAAATGCCTTTGCATAGTCCATAAAGCATAAATAGATATTCTTCTGGCATTCTTTACTTTCAGGCAAGATGCATCTGACATGAGCAATAATATCCTTGGTGCTATGGCCTCTTCTAAATGCCGCTTAAACTTCTGGGAGTTCCCTATCTATACCATTCTAGCCATTTTTAATGCTCTTCAGCAGTATTTTTTGCTTGCATGTGACATTAATGATATTGTTTGATAATTTCCACATTCTGTTGAATCATCTTTCTTGGGAATGGGAACAATCTGTTGGTCAGACAGCTGTCCTCCAAATTTCCTGGCATAGACTGGTGAGCTTATCCAGGGCTTCATCTGCTAAATGAAACAAGTCATTTGGTATCACATTTATTCCTGGTGTCTCATTTTTTGCCAATGCATTCAGTGCAGCTTGCCCTTCCTCCTTAATTACCATTGGCTCTTGCTCATGTGGTACTTCCTGAAATTTTTCAATGTCAGTCAGTTCTTTTTGGTACAGTAACTCTGTGTATTCCCTCCATCTTCTCTTGATATTTTCTGGGTCATTCAGTATCTTTCTTAAGAAAACTCTGGTCTATCTAGGATAGCCCTAAGTTGGTATTTCCAGTTTAATATTTATTAGTGCCTCTCTAAACTCTCAAATTTATTAACACTTGGAAGATAAATAGTACAGTTATCCTATACTGAAAAAACATGTACAAACTAGCATGGCAGGAGGAAGAGAGGTCTCTTGCATTCTTGTATTGAGATCACAAATCTACACTGAGGTCCAAGGATTCTCTCTCATCCAAAATAGCCTCTTCCAGCACTACTGGTAACCCCCAAAATGCACTCATATGTGTAATAATCCCTGGTCTCCACTCAGCAGTACCTGGGCTTCCTCCCATTTCTTACCAATCCGTCTTTCATTTGTCTAGGAAACTATTTGGCTTTCTATGCCCTACACTCTCTTGCTACTTCTTACCTTTTTTTTTTTTTTTGCTAGTTTCTCCATAATAACCATCCCATAACCTCTAAATGTTGGAAGCCCCAGGACTCAGTTCCTGGACTTCTTATCTTAGACACACTCCCAGGCAATCTCATCCCACCCCTTCTCTTTAAAGATAATCTATATGCTAATAGAACTCACATTCATATTACCAGCCCAATCTCTCCCCTGAGTCCCAGAATTGTATGTCCACCTGCCTATCAACAGTCTTACTTATGTATCCAACAATCATCTTAAATTTCAGATATTCAAAATTAAAAATGCCTGTTACACAACTCCTTCTCTAGTCATCTTTTTCTTAGTGTTTTAGCATAACCGTTCATCCATTTATTCATGTCCAAAACCTAAGAAAAATTACTTAACTCCTTTTCTCACCCTTATCTCACTTTCATTATTCCATCATCAAGCCCCTTGTAATTTTACCAGGAATATCTCAAATCTTTTCACTTATATTTTTGCCCATGGTCACTGCCCCAATCTAAGCCACTGCACTTATTTTGGAAACGCATGAAGACTTCTTACCCCACCCTCTAATCAGAATGCAAATAATACTAAAAAGATGCATATTTGTGTTCTATTAACTACATGAAGGATTTATTATGAGGATCATAATAAATTACAGGTAACACTGAAAAGAATGAGAACTCCAGAATACTAAATCGTGCTCATGCTGAACCTGTAGATGAACAAAGAAGCAATTGCTCAAACAAAACAAAGAAATATTATCTAGTTTAAATCAAGGAAGGTGTATGTCAGGGTTGTATCTTTATACCACACATGTATGCTGAGCAAATATTTTGAAAAGCTAAACTGTATTAATAACAATGTGGCATCCAGATAAGAAGAGGACTCAACAACAACTTTTATTGTGTGTGGTGATGTCATAAACTTAATTGCAGAAATCAACAAAGACTTGAATCACTTACTTACTGAAGCAGATCAAAGATAAAGCTTTTGGTACGAATTACTCTTTAACACAAATAAAATAAAATTCCTCACAAATGGACTAGTAGGCAACATCATGATAAACAGAGAAAAGACTGAAGTTGTCAAGGACTTAGTTTTACTTGGATTCACAATCAACACCAATGGAACTAACAGGCAAGATATCAAAAAAACTTTTAAACATTATGTGTATGGAAAAAAATGGACAATTAGACATCATGTGTATGACAAGTAACAATCTGGAACAGGACAAGCATTATAAAGTTAATGGGGGGAGAGGAATGTGTATCAGTGAAGGAAAAACTAGTCGCTTTGTAAACTTTCACTAAAATCACAATTAAAAAAATCATATTG